TATATATATATATATATATATATATATATATATATATAATATGCTGAGCTTGCTTGCCGCGATGTTTTAGTGGTTAAAGGCTCTGACTAATTGCGAAGAACTAGAGTTCACTTCTCATTGGTGGCTTGGTGTATATCCAACTTCATTTCGATGTATACAAGCTTATGTGTGAAATCTGTTTATCAGGAGTAGCAAAGAGAAGCGGAAATTTTTATAATGCAGAAAGAATTCTTATAAATCCATATTAAGGCTCCAGAGCATAATATATTTATTACTTGACCGTTGCGTTACTGTTTAAATTGTTTATATCTAGTTGAGAACAAAATTTTGCTTGATGTTATTTATTAAAATGTTAATGCATCACCTTCGCTACCACTATGAAAAAATACATTTACAGAGTTTACGGAAATTCTGTAGCAGTTGGAGGATTTGTCAGCTTGCCTGAGACGTAAAGGTGATTTGGGGCACAATGCAGATCATATCGCCACAGTCAAGCTTCTTGGCACAAAAATGTGGAACTTTTAACTCCACCGCTCCCTTCGCACACTATTGGCTGTTGTGGAAATGCTTTACTTTAGTAAGAAAAAGCGAATAATTCTGAATTAGCAAATAATTAACTTAAAATTAGCAAGGAATTAATAAGTAAATAAGTAAAAAAAAAATAAAAAAAAAAATAAGTAAATAAGTAACTGTATAGCGAAAATGAATTCTAAAGACAAATAATCCTGAATTTCTTTTTTTAAAAATTAACTTAATATCAAAAAGCGAATCGCAATTACATATGTTACTCAACAACAATACAATGTTCAGTTATAAAATATTGCTATACTCAGTCATGCTAACATTTTCATATGTTAGGAATCGACATTAAATTACTTAAAGTGACATTCAAAAAGCATGGAGATTTAAAAAAAAAATACTACCTTAAACAGTTCTTATCAAACTAAAATTAGATAAAGGAACTCTACCTTAAAGAATAATAGTTTTGGATGTTTAACTGTGACGTCATAGCAACATATTTTTCTAAGTTTCCTTTATGATTTGTGTCTGTTTTTTTCTGTCCAATAACTTTGAACGCAGAAAATAAAAATTTACTACGATAATTTAACGAAAAATATTTATCTAATGATAAATATTAGTCTTTTTCTACGCACCATTTTCAAGAAATTATTTCAGAATTTTTCTGAGCATATGACACCCTCATTTGTTGCTTCAAGATATTGTTAGGATTTTTATTTGTCAAAATATTTATTTATTTACTCTAAAATTTCTGTGCTTGTTCTCTATAACCGTAACTAACTAATACTTTCTCATAAAATTGACACTAAAAATCACATTTACAACGAAGTGTTAGGAGTAAGCTCAAGTATTTAGTGGAGTTACCATCAATATAATGGTCAAATTTAGCCAACAAAACCGTACAAAATTATATAAAAAAAGAAATTCAATTTTTTAAACTATTCGCAGTTTATCTTCCATCCATTGTTGATTATATTAGTAAATAACTTACCTGAAACAAAAGAACAGATATAAGAAAAATCATTATTATTTCCTTCGAAGAGCTAGAAATTTTAAATCTAAATACTTTGTGAATCATGCATTTTTTTTTCACTTTTTACAAAAGAAAATGAAGTTTAAATTATTGTATTACACGTTTTACTTGTTTGATCGTCATGTTTATAGTTTGCAGACAAAGATCTAGTTAATATGCCACGAACATGCATCGTAGAATGTATTACCATAAAACTAATAGTTTTGAAGGGTTTACATGAGATGACTACATTTCAAATTTTACAACTACCTGGAGAAGCTGCAACATTATAATTTGTATTATAACTTTTAAAGATAAACTCAGATCTATTTCGGTTGCTATCGACTTGGGTCACTTAGGCTAGTTTGAGAAATACTGGACTGGCACATTTTATAGGGAGCGAGCTTCTTTTTCTTTATTTCTCAGATAGAAAACAAATGTTAAAATGAACAGAATGTAATGTTTCTGAACAAAATGTAATGTTTCTAAACAAAATGTATGATGAAATGAAAATTAAGTGTTTGTTTTTACATCTGCCTATGATAAAACGTTACAATAAATAATATAAGTTCCTATGGATGGGTGATAGTGTAAAGCTAAGGGTAGTGGCGCTTGTGGTAAAATTGCTCTTTCAAGACTTCCGGGTTACTGCTTCCGATATATTTTTACGCAGCAGATTGAAAATCGCGCCATCATATTATTGTATCATATCTTTTGCAGTATTTCACATGTACCGAGTTCTTTCTTTCAGCCTTTAAACTTCCGCATTATCATATTAATATTATAATCATTAGAATATTTTCTAATTAGGCTAACTTAAAAAGATATTTTTAAAGATATTTTTGGCGACATTTTATTCAAATGTAGCCAAATAAGGGATAAAATACAAAACATGGCAAACCTTAAGAATTATTCACAATGAGATATTAACTTTCCAAAATTTTTTTTGGCCTTACGACCTCTGAGAATCAATACATTTCTGAAAGCTCTTATGAATGGTACAATTATGTTTAGATTTGAACCCAAATTACAATAACAAAACTGCATAGAATATTAGGCTTGTTCACACATCGTCTCGTAGTCATAACATAAGTGGAGGGATACACCGGAAATTTTCTAAATTTCTTCCGGTTTAAGGACGCTTGTTATTGTTTACATTAGACTACCCATCCATAGAAAGAAATAATCCGCGTGAGCAATTGGGTACTTGGGTCAAGAAGACACATGTGACCTATGACGCCAGCTAATCTTTATCACCAAAATGGCGTATTAAAGTTATGGTAAGTTTCTCTACATAATGTAGAATGTTAATTAACGATAAGTTAATTAAATACGGATTCGTATTGCGCATTAAATTAGTTGAAATAAAAATTTTTCTCGTCTACTTCTTTTACTTAACTTCTATTTATTATTTGTTTACGCATTTTATTGTAACCGTGATATATTTTTGTTTTGCGTATCTGGTAACTTCGATGCATAATTAGTTTGTTTATGTTCCAGATGACTTCGTGCCTGTCTTTGTGTTAAGTCTCTGTGTAAATATATTGTGAAAGAGTTGAAATCTTTGAGAAAGAATCTTTGTGAAAGAATTTAGAATGTGCTACTTAAGAGAATTGATACTTGAGGAGCTTGGCTTACTCGAAATAGAATGGAAAGAACAGTTGCCAACTCAAACAAATGCCACGTTACAACAACCAATCAGGATCGAGATACCCACACTACATCACTTGCAGGTATCCCTTTGATGCATTCTTAGAACTACCCTTAACTGTGAGCACTAATGGATTATTAAAATCTGTCTGAGTTAATTAGATTAGGTTTGTAAACTACGAAATTTGTAAACAAAAAGACAAAGCCTTTTGATAACTTTCTGACGTAAAGAACAATGTCTTTCATCAAAGTATGCATTTATATTTTCTTTACTACACTTTTGCCTTGTATGCAGCAGATAGTTCAGGCAAATGTATAAAACCCTGGTGGACGTAAGTCAATGAATTCTTGGTAGGCAAGCTTCGCAGCATTTTCGGAATAAAATTGCTTTCCTGTTAAAAATTTGTCCAAATTTCGAAGTAAAAGGCGTCAGTGGAAGATAGATTTAGTGAGTAGAGAGGGTGTTGAAGAAATCCCAATTCCGATTCCTATAGTTTTGCTACAGTCATTTGTGCAGGATGTGGCTTAGCCGTACCATACAATAATACAGGTGATGATCTGTAGACATATGTAGGCTGTTTTTCCTTAAATTTTTGATTCATTTCGTCTTGTTAGTTGAAGTCTGTCGAAACCATTGAGCCAGTTTTCATAAAATCATAATGAATCACACCATCGCGAGAGCAGCATATATGCCTCATCAGCTATTTTTATTAAACATTACTCTTTGGAGAGTGTCTTGATGCTTCAACTCAAACTCACAAATTTTATACTTTACGACTGAATAATTTAACAATAAAGGTATATATTTCCTAAATTCTCAGTATCACTTGAACAAATTAATAAAATCATTCATTTCTGCTCTAAAGTTGACATATCAAACCTATATTTTTCATTCTTTATGACCTAATAATTTAGCATTGAAAGTAATTATTTCCTAAATTTTCAATATCTCTTGCTATCAAAATCATCTATTTCTGCTTTAAAGTTGAAGCACCAAACCTATATTTTTCATTCTTTATGACTTAATAATAATTTAACATTGAAGGTAATTATTTTCGATATGTTCAGAATTTTTTATTTTTTTTAACAGAATCCATTTCTTTTTCCATATTTCCATCGGAATTGTTCATCCTTTTTGAACCATAAATGGCGTCATACTTCGCTCTTTCTTCTGCATAAACCTCTAATCCTCGCGTTGGATTCTCCTGTTCGTCACTCAGGTTCACAGTGAAAGGTAATTTTGGTTGCCAGAAGAATTTTCTATACAATCTGTACACACCGTACAACAAGATGCACAAACCAAAGAATCCTATGGCGAGGGCTGCGCTGTGAGAACTGGGCATTCTCGTTACTGATTCACTACTTTCTCGATCCCCAACCATTAAGGGATCGTTGGCGCTAATGTCTGAAGTTTCTGAAAAAATAATAGAGAGAGTGATTTTGACAATAAATTAAAATATTTACTTTGTAATATAAGAGAAACAAGGACACATTTTATAAACTTTTTTTTAAACTTTATTTTATTTGCTTTTAATTTTTTTGTGCTGCACCATCAATAATTATTATAATAGTCATACATTTTCCGTGACTCTGTAGTATATGATGCAAATTATTTTTTTAAGTTCAAAAATTTTTAAAAATCAGAAAATTTTGTTTTTAATTTTTGATGCTCCTAACTAAAATTATGTTCCTTCAAATTACACTTGGGCAAGCCAAGCTCGCCAGACATTGGTATTTTGCGAAGCAAGTCTGGTAAGTACGCCTTTCGTTTGACAAGAGAGCACCGCTAAGGTGAATGTCCGTCTTATGCCCATCTATCCGTTAGAACCCCTCGAATAGATGGCAGCATCACTCATACGTGAGGTCACTTCCACAATTTAGACACAGGTGTGAAGAAGAGGAATTTTTTTTATCGAACTCTGTACCCATGGTACTGTTCAGTGATTGACCACACAACTTTCAATTTCCCAAATTTTACAACACGTACATCAAATTTACTTGGTGGTAATGGAGTCAAGGATCGTGCCCTGGACACTTTTGGACCGGAGTCGGATTCTCTAACCACTGGGCTACCACGACCCTACTCAAACTATAATGCTTTAATATAAACATTTTCAAATTTATTTCGAATAGATATATTCATATCCAAACAATTTCTGTGCTATTTTCGACAGCAATAATGCTTCATTAATTCTGATCATAGGTACTAATTGGAATAAAAAAATTAGCTATGTACTAAAAGGCAAAATTAATGGAGAAATAGTACATGTTCGTTTAAAAGAAGCGTAAAAAATCGCCATACTGTTATTGACGACAATAATGCTTTATTAATTCTGAAAATAGGCACTACTGGTATTATGGTAATTGGTGCAGCTTTAATAGTGTGGAAATATTTGTTTTACGGCCCCTCGAGAAAAGAAAAATACGGGAAAAATTGCTTGATTGCCGTATATTTTGACTATCGTGATTTGGCCCCGAACAACAGCATCATATAAAATGATACTGCAAGTTAATCTCTATTTTGGTACGTTAAACTAATAATTTTTTTTTGAACTAGTAACGTAAAGCGACCAGTAAGGACAACAAATAATAAAAAAATTAGAATTATTTTAGTCATGTTAATTTCGTTGGTATATGTCTCTTAGTTTTATGCACGATTTCGTAACAATGTTTCTTAAAGACTCATTTATTACTTACTTTTTTTAAGTGACTATACGTAGAACGGACACTCAGCTTGTTATACATAAAAAATATTTAAAAAAAAGAGTAACGCCCTCTAATTGTGAGAGTAGCAAATAATTGCTATAAAATTCAGGTACGCAATGGTACCTTCCTTGAAAAATTACAACAGAAATTTGCAGTATCATAAATGAAAACATTTAGTTAGCATAATAAAGCTGACAAAAACTAATTTTTGAATCAAAGATTAGAATCACCTTAGAAAAAAAATTTAAATTTTCGTGGTTTGCGACTTCTTATAACGGGGCTAGGCTACTTTGTTTAATTCCTCAATCGTTGTCTCCAAAGAGTCACAGAAGACAAGTTTTTCTGACAACTAGTTTGTATAGTTTTATTTAAAAATACATAAGCGATATAAAAAATACTAACGACATTAACATTAAATTAGAAGTATATTATATTTCTATTCCACACTATGTCTCTATTCTCTGTAACGTAACTACAGAGTTGAAATTAAACGCGATTATGGACGACAATTTGAATTATAACTTTAAGGAGAATTATTTTTGAATTTCATTTTTTTTCGAAAGCTATTGCAGCTTTAAGTAGGATTTTTTGCATGTTTTTCTTTAACTAATAATTAAATATTCATTATTGTAGAAAAATATTTATTTCCCCAGCAATTTTTATTTAATAAGCTCGTGCTTGACTTGATGTCAAAAGTAGCAAAAAATAAATAAATGGGAAATAAGAGGTTAAATGTTTGCCAGGCATAAATCTTATCATTGAGACCTAAATTTTTAGATAATATGAAGACTGAATATGAAGAATAAAATAAAGACTAGATATAAAGAATTAAATATTAAGACTGAAGAACTGCTTCCAATAGGAGCTATTATATAAGGTTATCGTTATATTTTGCTAGCAAGTAAAATTACGTCTCAGTTATTGTTTTTTATTATGTCGCATATTCTGTTTTTATTTTTTTCCCCTTGGTGGATTCGATTATCTTTCATATCCTATATTTCGTTAAGATTAACAAGTTGAAAAAAATGTGCTTACATAAAATTGTAATAATTTTATGTTTTCTTAGCAAAATGATATTTTTTTAATCGATTTTTAAGAAGAAAAAAAACTCATAAGAAGATCTATGAGTTTATGATCATTAAAGCTGATTCTGAGAAAACACTTATTTGCATCGGACAGGAACAGTTTTTTCCACAGAATAAGATAGGTTGAACTCCGACCCACCCCAGGGGGGGTATACGGAGATAAAAATAAAATTATTACAATAAAAATTTCTCTGAAAACTAAAATTACAGTAAAATTTTGCCAAATGACAGTGGTGGTGATCAGTTAAAAGTGGATTAACGTGACAATTAAAAACATGCCTTAAAGGCAATGAAATCCAATAGCGCCGGTGTAAATGTCGAGAATTAAATAAGGAAACAAGAGACAAAAAATCTCAAAACCAAAATCAATGAATGCTAAAAGTCCTATGAGTAAATATCTAAAAGTAAAAGTCTGACTAGAAGTCGATGAAGTCTAAAATCAATAGTAGATAAAATTTCAAAATATAAGTCTAAAAGTTGATCAGTTAAAAAATTTATGATGACATGCTCTATTGTTGGTTCATGACTGGGGTCAGTTGATCTGGGGCTAAAATGTTCTCGAGGGTTTGTTTAATAATTTGAGTCACAATTTTCCTGCAGATCAATATGGCAAAGAATTGATGTTCCTCTTCGCAATTATTCATGTGGGTTCCACGAAGTGCCCGGAATCTTGGACAGTGCTTAAGTAGATGATCNATTTGAGTCACAATTTTCCTGCAGGTCAATATGGCAAAGAATTGTTGTTCCTCTTCGCAGTTATTCATGTGGGTTCCACGAAGTGCCCGGAATCTTGGACAGTGCTTAATTAGGTGTTTAATGTCCTGTCTCACTCCACAGTAATTACATGAAGCTGATTTTCTGAAATATTTTTGTTGATGGGTCCCGAACACTCCGTGGCCAGTAAGGAGCTGGTTTAAGTAAAAATTGGCCTGCAGGCGCTTTAAGCTGGGGTCTTTAAAAAATTTATAGACTTGTCTTCCTTTGTCACTAGACCTCCAGTCATCTCTCCAGCGGTTAAGAGTGATGTTCTTAATGTAAAATTTAATTTCACATTTCTCACCTGGGATCTCAAAATCAATCTGGCCAAGCTTAGTGGCTTCCTTAGCAACCCAGTCGGCCTCTTCATTCCCTTCAATGCCTGACTGTGCTTTAATCCAATTTATATTATAGTTACTACTCCACATGGCTTTGGTGTCTTCTATAATTTTGAGGTGTTTACGTGGGCCCTCCAGGCTCATGAGTGAAGAAAGGGTATCTGTGTAAATGCTTGCTATTTCAGTACCCTGATTTTTAAGCCATTGGAGCGCTGACTGTATCGCAAGGAGCTCAGCCAGATAAATACTGCAGTTGTTATTCAAACGCGCCGAGATGGTACTGATGGTTTTGCGATTTATCTTCATTACAAAACCATATGCAGTTTTATTTATAAGTCTACCATTGTTCTCAGTTTGAATTCTCGACCCGTCTGTGAAGATTTCAATGCCATGGTTAGTTGGAAGAAATTTCCCCCAGGGCAACGCGAGAGAGTTTGAGGGATGAACCAGTTTGGGAGGTAGTAAGAGGTGATCAGGAAAGTACATATGATTTTCAAGCCAATTTATGTCTTCTATCCTCCATTTCCAGATATTTCTTTTAATGTAGATCTCGTCAATGATTTTATAGTAGATTGGTTTTACCCCGGCCACTATCTGGAGTGCATCAGTACTGACAGTTCTATAAGATTTGGTAATGGTAATAAGCGGAATTCTTTGAATAGATTTTAGTTTTTCTTTTATTTTGACTGTGTTTCTAAACCAGACACAGGCCGCATAGATGATGATTCTCTCGATTGCTTGGAGGTATATCTTTTTTAGAACATGATGGTTGAGACCCCAGGTGACTCTAGCAATCCTCTTTAATTTGTGATTGAACATTTGTACACGATCCTTAACTTCGTCAAGATGGGGAATCCAGGTGAGTTGTGGATCCAAGACAGATTTTTCCACAGTATGGCCAAGATTTTTCCACAGTATGGCTCATCTTCACTGAGTCATAACTCTCAGTGAGCGGAGGTACCAATTTTTAATGTTATTAATTGTTTCAAAATTAATTCAACCGTAATTTTGCAACAACAAAAAATTTGACATAAACCGTTCTTACTTTCTTTATGGATGAAAAAGAAAAAACCGTGGGGGTCGGTGAGCAAAGCGAACAGGGAGAGGAGCCTCTCAGTATAATATTCAAATTCTAATAATATTTATTATTACTATAATTTAAACTAAATAATCCGAAATACTTACCTAAGACTAAGGAATAGTCGTGGTTTTTACAGTTTAACTAATTGCTGTAAAACTTAATTTTAATTGTTAGGCCTAGTTCATTGCTTTCATTTTAGTTTATATAGTTCATTTCCGATTTTATTAATGACTTTTAGAAAAATTAGTGTTAAATTTTCAATGCTTACTAAACATTGTACTAGTGATTCTTTTTAGAGAAAAAAATGCACAAAATAAGAGCGAAGAAATACTGAAAATTGCAACGTGACTTATTAATTGACAAAAAATTAAAAAAAGTATTATAAATACTTGTTATAGTATTTGAACATACTTATAATATACTAATAAATATAATATACTTATAAATGTGAATACACTTATTATAAACTAATAAATATAATATACTTATAAATGTGAATACACTAATTATAAACTAATAAATATAATATACTTGTAAATGAATATACTTATTAAATACTTATCATAGTATGATATACATCAATACATACTCACCATTCGATTCGGTAATATTCATATCAATATTTCAAAATGATCTATTTAAAAAAATTTTAAAAAAAACTTTAGATTTTGCACACACTAAACTCTGATGTGTTTTAACTCGCAGAGATGATATCATAGCTAAGACAAAAAAAGATTCATTCAAAAAACTTATAAAATATGATTATGATTATATATTCAGAAATTCAAACAAAAGTGATTTTCACCAAGGAAAAACCTTATTTCATTGTGCGTCTAGTCATGACGAAATATTTTAAAATCAGGCGAACAAAAAAGAATTATAAAATCTGAATATTTTATTACTCTTTTTACCAAGTAAAAGTTGCAAAAACTGGATTAGGAATCCTGTTCTTCTTTGAGTTGATATACATATTTTTTGATGTATAGACAAAAATGAATGAAGCTCGTTTCCACGCTTATGTAAAAAGAGCTAAAAACCTTATTAATGTTTCGAATTTAATGCATGCGTTTGTAGAAACAGTAAAACCTTTGTTTATAGCATTTTTGAGACTTTAGTCACCCTGTAAAAAATTCTAACGTATACTTGCCGCCACCTTTGGAGTTGACTCAAAGCTTTTGTAATTCATGTAGTGCTTTTTACCACTATTTACTGTTTCCCTGTTGTTTTAATTAATTATTTATTCAATTTTTGTTTGCTTGTTTACAGACAACACATATTTTGATGCGCAATAGAATTAATTTCAAAAATATTTCCTTTTAAAAACAAGCATATTTTTAGTATTTTCGCACTAATTCTTTCTAACAATTGTTATTTTTTCAATTTTAAGTAACATTTATTTGATCAGAAACTATAAAAGCAGTCCTAGTTTTTAGGGAAACTAATATAATGTTGTTAACTATATTAGTATCGTGTTTGCTGTTAAGTATTTAATTATTTTCAGCAAAAATTGAAAAACTTGTACTATTTTTTATATCAAGAATGAAATTCAACAGAACAAAATGCTTATGTTATTCTTATGGGTAAATACTGTTTAAAAGAAGGTGTTGAATTAAAATTTTGAATATACTTGAACACAACAAAATGCTTAATAATATTCTTGTGGGCAAATACTGTTTAAAAAAAGGTGTTGAATTAAAATTTTAAATTAATTTAAACACAACACAATGCTTAATGTTATTCTTATGGGTAAATCCTGCTTGGAAAAAAGGTGTTGAATTGAAATTTGGAATGAAATTCAACACAACAAAATGCTTAATGTTATTCTTATGGGTAAATCCTGTTAAAAAAAAGGTGTTGAATTAAAATTTCGAATGAAATTCAACACAACAAAATGCTTAATGTTATTCTTGTGGGTAAATTCTGTTAAAAAAAGGTGTTGAATTAAAATTTTGATTTAAATTCAACACAACAAAATGCTTAATGTTATTCTTATGGGTAAATCCTGCTTGGAAAAAAAGGTGTTGAATTGAAATTTGGAATGAAATTCAACACAACAAAGTGCTTAATGTTATTCTTATGGGTAAATCCTGTTAAAAAAAAGGTGTTGAATTAAAATTTTCAATTTTATCCCTTTTCGGTCGCATTTTGTTTATGTTCAATAATATTCGGTTACTGGGAACAACCATAAGACCCCTAAGGGTTAAAATCTGTGCAGGGTGTTCTGTGATACATAATTTCAGTATCCTTGTCAGAAAAAAATACAAGTAAAACAATATTAAGAAACAATACAAAAAAGCAACAAAAGTTTATTCAACACAAAAAACAAACAAATGCTGAAATTTTTTTAAAAAACGAAAATTTAATTTACAAAACACACCTTGAACCAGCCAAGGTCCATATATAAACCAGTTACATTTAAATAAGTAGGAACATTAATAATAAATTAACATATAAGATGATGTTATTTTATTTTGAAGTCAACGTGATTATGAAATATGAAAATATTAAATAAAATTTTTAAATTGAAAAAAGAAACTGACAACTCTAAAGATCTTTATCCGAAGTTTCAATCAAAATTCTCACAAATAATATTCGATTTTTTTTAATGCCATTTAAATTTATTTTACAACTGATTTAAAATATTCTGGAATTAGTTTAGATCATTGTTTAAGATTGTATTGTAAGGATTTCACAATATTTAAGATTGCAATGAAAAGTTTTGCTTTATAATTGATTTTTTGCAACATTAATAAGCTTAAGAATTTAGTATAAGATTGGATTAAAGCTTTGCATCAGTTAAAGTCATCTAATAGTTGAGATATAGATAAGGTTTTGCAATAGATACCGTATAGTTAACGTTTTATAATAGTTTTATAAAATTTAAGGTTCTGCATTTTGAGTTTATTAATAATTAATGTCACAGTTTATGGTTCTTAATAAGATTTTATACAAGTTAAAATCTCGCTCATTATTGTATAGGTGAGAGTTAACGGTAAGTTAAGATTGGATTTTAAGGTTCTATATTTGATATACTTGTAGTTCAGTTAAGCTCACAGTGAATGGTTTAATAATTATGGTGTTGTTATAGTCAACCCAGATTTAAGAAAGCAGATGAAAAAAAGTTAGTTTTAAATAAATTAAAAAAAAACATGTGAATTTTATGCTAAAATGATATTAGTCTGCGTTCGACTCAAATGCTAAACTATATAACAATGTATTTTTTAAATGTTTTCGAAGTTCTCCAAATATAACAAATACACTATTTATGCCGTAGTAGAAGACATTGTTGATGTAGAAGTAGATTTCTTTGTCGTCGTTTCTTTTGTAGCTTTTACTGTAGAAGTAGTGGTAGTACTGGTGCTGGAAGAAGTCGAAGTAGAAGTATATACCTTATCTGGGTCTTTATTATATAGATGTGAAACAATTGACGTTATACCAGCCCACGTTTCTTCGCTGGTTGGCAAGATTTCAGACCTGGGAAGCAGAAATCCATAAACGCCTCTGTCTCGTAGCTCTACGATGAAACTGTGCCGGACGCCAGCTACATCGTATACCCAGTCAGAAGCACTACCACTTGTAGCGTCTGAAAAAAGTGGTAAATAAATAAAACTATTAACTTCAAATATGTATAATTGTCATGCATAAAAATGATTAAAACTAAAAGAACGGGAAGAGCATAATCAATTGATATTTGATATATAAACTTCCTATGTAGTTACACACTTAACTACAACCTATGTCGTAATACACAAAACTAAAATTTAGGTACACTGTAAAAAATTTCAGATCAAATTACGGTATAAAGTCACTTTGGGTGCATTTTCCGTGAAATCCATTTTTAAAGTAATTTTTACACTAATATTTATTTAATTAAAGTTATTCAGTGATTTTACGGTAATTATTACAGTAAAAGTTATAGTGTATCTGATTCTTTTGCTTCGTAACATGTTCTGATAAAAATAAATTTTTCGGAAAAAAGTACCGGTATTATTACAGTAAGAGTTCAAACTGAATTTTACGGTAAAAAGTACAGGTAAAAGTTACAGTGCATTTGGTTTTATGTTCCGTAACATGTTCTGATAAAAATAAATTTTACGGTTAAAAGTACCGGTACTCTGAGTACCGGTACTTTTTACCGTAATTTGATCCGGAATTTTTACAGTGTAGGATAAATTCTGTTGCTTTAAACATAGTTAAAACCTACGTTCCTTAACTTTGGTTATTACAAACATGACTACAATTAATGTAATTTAATTTGCAGTTTTACACATAATTACAAGCTATGCAGTTACGCACATAACGACAACTTATGTAGTATTACCTATGTAGTTACACATATAACGACAACCTGTATAGTTTAGCCTATTTATATAGGTTAAACTACATAGGTTGTCTTTATGTGTGTACACATAACACACATAACCAGAAGATTTGCAGGTACATAGTAGACACATATTTAAAAGCTATCTAGTAGTTACAAACCTATTTAGTTTAACCAATACATTATATAGTGAAACAATGTAGATACAAACATATACCCGACATATAATCCGATAGACATTAAAATTAACAAAACATTAATTAAAACAAGAATCATTTTTTTAAAAAAATATAAAAAACGTACATTTTTTACGGTAATTTATGCCAATGTACTGATGCATTTTTTATGCTATATTTTGTTTTGTAATAGCGTTACAAATATTACCATTTATAAAAAAAAAAAAAATTCCGAAAAAAAAAAGGTCTACAACTACATGATTAAACTTACATAATGTCCGAGCAGATGGTCCGTATCTGTACGAAACTCCGTGCGTTTTTTCTACTGCTTTAGCCGCTATTTTCAACAACTCCATCTGAAATCAAAATTGCACAAATCAAAACAAAATAATTCAGAAAACTTGAAACCGATTTAGGCAATTGGTAAAAAGAAACTAAAAAATTGCAATAACCAATAATTCCATCCCTTGAGAGGGCTTTAGGCTTATAGGGCTTTGGGTTTTATAATTGAAGTACGTAGTATTAGAAGATATTACATAACAAGGGGAGGGGAGGGTCCTTTCAGTAAAAGAACGTGTTCAGTTACAAAATTTAAAACGCAAAATTTTCGAAATTTAAAAATATATCATGGTTAACTATAAACATGCGAGTAGAACATTAACACACACTTACTCTGTAAAGTATTTAAATAAAATCAGTTTTCAGTTGAAAAAAAAGCATTTTGTAAACATCTTTTTGATTTTTCTATGTTTGTCATAGATGATTTTCTCATGGAACTTAACATGTTCTTTAACCGATAAAAATTTACTAAGTAACACTTGAGTAAAAAGTTCAGTTTTTTTCCGGCTAAAGTTACATTAGTAAAAAACTATATTTTCCAAGTTTAAGAGCACTTTATGTTTGTTTTAAGTACAGATCATTAACTTTGCTATGCCTTTGAAAAAAGTAGTTTTCATTTGAAAAAGAGTATTCTGACAAGCATCTTCTGAATACTTCAAAATGATACTAATGATTGTTTTCTAAAATTTACTAAAATTCCATTTGGTAAAGTTTTCTTAGTGAAAAAATATCTTAGGTTACCTCTTACAAAACGTATTTTTCTTTTTTAGGTTAAAAAAATATATAATGGTTGGTTATAAGTTTAGAACATTAATTTATTTTGGTACTAGGTACTTTATTTATATCGCACTAGAGCTGCACAATAGGCTATTAAATTTATTTTGGAAATCTTTAAGTAAAGCAGATTTAAGTATTTCATTTGAATCGAAAAAAAATAAAATGTTCAGTAACACCTTCTTAACATTTCTTAACACTCCAACAATAATTTAATCAAATTTACAAGTTCTCAATTTATCTTGCTTATAGCAATGGTGAAAATGTTGTAATCGCACTCAAATAAAAAGCGCCATACATGATGTTTTTTTTTTTGCTTTTTTTTTCATTTTAAATTTCTGTGAGCGTTTAGCTCATTTCACTGTGTGTGCAAAAATCACAATGATTTCATTAAGTTCTCACTTTAGAACATACCGTACTTTTCAATAGGAATTGAGAATTGGATACCTGGAAGTGACGTCACCGTATTTGAATCGTGGCATTTGTTTATTCAAAAACAAATCATATTCCTCACATACGTGTGACGTCGTTTACAGGTACCGAACTAAACCAGATTTAAATCACATGATTAGATATGATCTCTACACTTCTTCATGGACAGATGGCAACACCGACTGATTGGTGCTGCCATCTATCAGTGGGATTCTGAGCTAAGATGTACTTTCATCCTTGCGGCGCTCTCTTGTCAAGAGAAAGGAGCACATTCCGGGTTTATTCGCAAAAGGCCAATGACTGGCGAGCTTGGCTTGTTCAAGTGTCTTTAGAAACAACAGAAACAACTTCTTCTCGAGTTACAAGTACCGTATATTATTAAAATATGTTTTAAATAAATGCAAAATTTCAGGGATATTGGTGTTTTAGTTCGTTATTTAATAAAAATATTCTCACGTGTTCTTCGAAGTCGGGTGCTTGCATTGTTGTGTATCCGTGTGGGGTCATCCACAGCTGAGAGAAGGAATGAAGTGTGAAATAGGCTCTAAGACGATGTCTGATAGACATAACCCCATCTCTAATGGCGGAACTTTCAGCTTCAGAGAAAGGATGATCTCCTTTGAAAATTTGTGAACACGGAGTGGAGCTCGTGCTGGGACCTAAAAACCAGTTTGTCGATCCAAATTAATAAATTTTCAATATAAATAAAATAATTTTGGGGAAATAAATGAAGTAATTTGAAATATAATTGAAAGAATTGAAAACATAGATAAAAGAATTAAGAATATAAATAAAGGAATTTAATTTAAAAATGAAAAAATTATGCATATAAATTAGGCATATGAATTTTTAAAAAAAACGTGAATATAAATAACACAGTTATAATCGTAAATGAAAGAACTTCGAATATAGTTGTTGTCTGGTGTTTTCTATCTGTAGCATAATCCTTTGCCACAGAGTTTTCATCCAGCATATTTTTCATACTTTTTCCCTTATTTATGAATTAAGTCAAATAAGTCAAAATAATTGAAAAATATTATATTAACCATTTCAATTTATTTTTATGAAACACCGGTGTCTTTAATTTCTTTAATTTACAAAATCAATCATTTATTAAATTTTTGAACACAAATAAAAAAATGAATTTTTTTTTCAAACTACTTTTTTCCGGATTTTACATTTCTATACAAATATAATTCCGATAATTTGGCAGATTTTTTAGTAACAATAAGCCTGTTTTTTTATAAGTAAAAAATACAAAAATACATTTCTTCTTGTAATTAGAGAGTCAGAAGAAAAATCCATCTGCGTTAAAGGGTTAAACAAAACATAAGAATGAAAAAAAAAACGATACAAAGCATAGATACACTTTTTCTTTTAAAAAATTGGAATAATAAGCTATAATACACATTTGATAATTCAAACTCAATTTTTAAAAATAAAAATTAGTTAATGGGTTTGCGTCTTGACCAGTAAAGCACTTTTACAAGATTACACCTTTTCCTTTTGAAAAATTGAAATAACAAGTTATAATATTTATTAATTAAATGTATTTAATCCAATCTTCTTTTTAAATGTTATATATAATACTTTTTTTCTAAAGAACTGGAATAATAAGTTATAATATTTTATATAAGAAATGTATTCGATCCAATTTTTAAAAAAAAATATAGTTAACAGGTTTGCATCTGAAATCAAATAATTATAAATGTAAATGGAAAAAGTTAATAAAAAAAACTTTTGACTAGAAATTAATTCATAAAAGTATAAATAATATAAATGAAACAATTGTGATAAGTAAAATAAAAAAAAACATGAACTGAAATAAAAAAATAAAAGACGAAAATAATACTTATAACTAAAATAATTATGTCTATGAAAGAAGAAAATTTTTAAGATTAAAAAATAAAATTGTTTTGCACATACATATCAATGATTAAACCAAATACACTGCATAGAGCTTAAGACGAATTATTTCGACTACTGAATTCATTAAATTTCAATTCATATGTTGCATTAAAAATATTAAAAATAATACTTTTGAAAAATTAATTATAAAAGACGTTGTGTTGAAAACGTATGTGTTGGAATAATTAATTAGGTGATGCATAAAAATATTTTGTCACCTGCCTCCAAAAAATATGTCAAAGTTTCTGTTTGGGTCTGTTCCCCTGCAGAGAAGAACTCCTGGGAAACTTGGAGCAACTGCTCTGTTTTTCCTCCATAGGCGATTCTAAAATAGGAAATTGCAATAATTATATTTGTTATTATTATTATTATTAAAAATTATTTCCATAAGGATTGTATCAAATCTATTTTATTTGAGCCGCAGTAACTCAGGGGAGCATCAGGGAAGTTTCAGGGGATTCATTTCCCAATGAGGTAAACCGGGTTCGAATCTCAGCGATGGCTGGTTAATACGAATTTCACACCCGGCTTTCACCGACCACAGTGCTGACGTAAAATATCCTCAGTGGTTGACGGATCGGGGGTTAGAATCCCCTTGCGGTCAGGTGAACCATGGGAGGTTTTCGGGGTTTTCCTCTCCATGTAACGCAAATGCGGGCTAGTTCCATCAAAAAGTCTTCCACAAAGACAAATTTCTCCATATACTTGATCCAGGTGCTCCCTTATCTTCTGGATTGGGTTCAAAATTACAAGGCGACGGAGTTGAACATCAGTAGTCGTAAACCCAAAAAATTGGGTCGGCTGTTCAATGACGGTTATTAAATATATTACTACTTGGAACCATGGTGGCTCAGGGGATAAAGCACTCTGCTCTCAATGAGGTGACCCGGGTTCGAATCCCCGCTATGGTTGATCGATACGGATTACCCACCGACCACTGTGCTGGCGGAAAATATCCTCAGTGATAGGCTGATTATGGGTTAGAATCCCCTTGCCGTCGAACAAGGAGGAGATTTTTTCATGGTTTTCCCCACCATGTTACATAAATGCAGGTTAATTCCGTCAAAACGTCCTACACGAAGACTAGTTGGTCTCGGTGCATGATCCAAGAGTTCCCTTGTCTTCTGGCTTGGGCTCAAAATCTGAAGTCAACGGAGTTGTACATTGATAGTCGTAAACTATGAATTTTGTGGGGCTGTCATAAAATAAAATAAAATCTATATTATATTTAAATTAGTAGTTTAAAAAAATAACACTCACCCAGTCCCACGTATGCAAATATCCGTCTGGGTTGACCAAAGGAAGGATGTACCAATCATGTGTATCCACCAGCTTGGTCACTTCTGGATCTGTACCATAATTAAGGAGCAAGTGATTAATCATGAAGAGAGCAGTGGCTGGAGCAACCCATTCTCTACTATGTATGCCAGCATCTACCCAGACTGCGGGTCGCGTATCATTACCTCCGGAACTGATCTATTAGATACAAATGCTTACATTTATTTGCAATATTATTTGCAATATTATTTACTCTATCACAAAAACTATTTACCTGTGCCTGCTATTTACACTAGAAAAAAGAAGTAAGTCAAAACTACCAGAATAGGGTAAAATTTACAGCGTTTCTGGGTTTTAGACCCAGAAACGCTGTAACACCAAATGGCTCGGTAATTTTTTTTATTAAAGCGCTTTGGTAATTATTTTAGTAATATTGATAATAAAATATGGTTTCTTATTAAGTGATACAATTTGGTAAATGTGGTAAAATTTGGTAATTTATTATAATACCTTACAGCATGGCATAAATATCATCTATTCGGTTAATTTTTTTTTTCAGTTTTGCATTTTTTACGAATTGTCTGGTAATAAAAACTATAATTTTGAAAACATGAATTTCCGGTAAACCGTTATCATATGAACGGAAAAATTACCAAATGGCTGGTTCAAACACCTCATATTTTGGTTTCAATTGCCAGAATAAAGGTTTTTGTACTAGAAAGACCATTACCATACAGTGCGATAATTTTACTAGAACTTTTTTTTCAGTGTATGGTAATATGCTATGTTCGCTATTGTAAGGGAACTTTTACGTTACGTGTAATATCAATCACAAAATATATTTTACTCAGCATGTTAGAAAGTACTATAAAATACATAAACTATATTTATTAGTTATTTAAAAGTTTACTATCAATTACAAAAATTATATCGCTATATTTCAGGAGGTGATGACGAATTAAATGCAGTGTAGATTTGCTTTTGTAGAAAAAACAGAGATAGGATCTGTTTGATGTTATCACGGGCATAAATTGGACATTGTAGAAATAGGAATATCAATAAATGTTATTTCTATCATATTTCTACAATTTCTAGAAAAGTCCCCATAGTTTGATCAGGAGAGCAATCCGTAGTTTGGACCCCTTAATGTTCATGATACAGTTTGTGTATTTCGTCATATCCCGAAAACTTTTTAAAAGGAATTTAAAATTTTTTGCTGGCAATTATAAAATTTGTTTACCCAAATATAATTCTAGGCAAAAAAATAAATTTTAGTAAATATTTATTATTTTTTATTATTTTATTAAATAATGTTTGAAAAACATTTGAATTGCAAGATATCGATTCTTTTACTTCATTTTAATGCTTGAAATTACGATGCAAAATACGAAATTCGAGCAAAATCGGTTGAATAGTTCCTGAGAAATCGAACTTTAAAGAGACGTATATTTAATTATTAGTTATTACTCGTATAATAGTAGTACTATTTAATTAGTATATTTGAGGTCATCCTTTCGAATCATTAAGATTGAGACCTTGAACGCGAAAATCCGATCATTAGATCAAAAGTTATTCAGCGTAGTCCTTTTTTTCTTCTTTTGCGCACTCAACATTACATGCATTAAAAAATTGTTAAATTATGCAGTTTTGTGTAAAATTTAATAATGATTCAATTACACTATAAATCTATTTAAAATAAATACAGAGTAATGTCAAATTGCAAATATTAGAAGACTTACTTTCAATAAGTAAATTATATTTCCCTCATAGGTGTCACCCATATTCATGAGCTTGGTAAGATTGGGATATTTTCTACTTGTATCATCTAAGTATGCAATAATCTAAAAAAAATTCGATATCAAACCATTGAAACAACATATAAAAAAAAGCAACAAGCAGAATATAAAAGCTGTTCCTATTTTGCTAATCACGTTAAGAAGATACTTGTTTAGATAGATTAAAGCGTAACAATATTTATCAAATTACAGGACGTTCTCAGTAACCCCACGTTTAATTTAATTTTTAAAAAATCTTTTTACCACAACAATGATGGTTAAAAATTGTTCCAAAAATTTAAAAAAAAATATATAGCAAAAATTTAACCAATCAACACCAAAATCAGCTCAGTTAAAATCTTGAAAACAACTTTTTGTGGGATGGCATCAAAAGATAGTAATAAAAATTTATATTCAGTACAAAAACTAAAAGAGGCACATTTCTTCAAACCTTCGTCAAATTACTTAATAGATCCGTTTCTTTTTTAGGTATCGGTATGGCTTTAAATTATTTGTTACGCTGAAAAAAAATTCTAGATCAAATCACGGTATAAAGTTTGTACTTTGTCATCATCCATAAAATTACTTTTAACCGCAAACACCGTTCTTTACACCTTAATTTTTACAGTAATATTTATTTAATTAGAATGATTTTACAATAAGTATTACTGTGATAAGTACGGTATATCAGATTTTTTTTTGTTGATCCGTATCATATTCCGGTAAAAAAAAAGATTTTATGGTAAAATGTACCGACACCCTGAGTGCCGATACCATTTGTCGTAATTTTATCAGGATTTTTTCGCAGTGCAGCTATCTAAATTACACATGCTTTATAAGATCTATATCCAGATCTGTCGTAAGGGTGGAACAAGTTTGACTTTCGCTAAAGGTCCTACATTCATCTCTAGGGAGCTCTACTCTAGGGAGCATACTCATTCATACTCTAGGGAGCTCCATGCTGGTTATATTAAAAATAATGTCAATAATTATAAAAATTTTAATATTAGTATTGCATTGTTAGTACTTTACTTTCTATGTAATTTACTGGTGGAATTTAAAAGAAGGCATTAGTCTTCAAATTTTAAGGAGCAGTGCACAAAATGCATTTTTATAAATCAAAATAGTATAATTAGAAAACCAAATTCATTCATAAATTTTTAGAGGGATATTTCTTCTAGGCTCTAAAACGTAAAATTTTTTAGAGCCACTAATGTATAATAAAGTTAAGCAGTAGTATAAAATTTAAAGAAAAAAGCGCTATTTGGATTTAGGAATGAAATTCGAAAAAAAAAATCAACTCTAAAAACGAAATTCTGATGTCCTATAGAGGGACAGCATAAAGAAATATTTAAATAACCCTGATTAAAGTTTTTTTTTTTTAAATTATTTTTTATAAAATATTGCAAAATCTAACGATGGTTCTATCAATGTTGAAAATAGTTTATATGGTTACCTATTGGCCTGATGGCTCATTTGCATTTTGAGGTATAAAAAACTGAAAATTAATAATAGAAAAAAATTTAAAATTTGTATTTTTATAGATATTTAGTTTTACTGTTATAATATTTTCCTTATCTTTTTATCTCTTGCAGAAATAACTAAGACAAACACCTCGTCTAGTGGATGGTAGACATCGAATGCAAATCCGGCCGTCCGTCCCTCTAAGTGTGTTCCCGGATAATTTTCTTCTCTTTCTCTCTCAATCCAACTACAAAACAAAAAAAAAGTTATCGATTAAGAGGTAAGGACATTATATAGTAAATTAAATAAATAATTCCAAGAAATTGAAGCGGTTAGTATTACTTTTTTAAGGACTTCATTCGCTTCAAAAATAAATAAATTAGAATTAACAAAAAGTTGACCTGCTTCAAGCGCTCGAAAACAGGCACCCATTTTAAAGATTTGCCAGACGTGAATAAGAAGAAACAGAAGTGATTAGACATATAATATGTAAAGTTGCCGAAGAAAAATGGAATTTTTAATCAAGTAACAATAAATAGTACTAAGAGTCACTTTTTTCTGCAGATATTTAAGAGAAAATTTTACATTTCAAATTGTTAAGGAAATTACTTTTCGTTCATTTATTCATATTTGTTTTTAAAAACCCAGATATATTTATTTTGAAATTTCATTATAAAATTGCAAGTGATAAGAAATATGTCAGTGCACGCATTTCAAATATTTTAATTTTATTTATTATAGTTTGATGAAAGAAAAGGATTACGATTCTACGTAAAAAGTCCGAAAAATTTATCCGAATACTATCACTTCTGCTCGACGCATTAAAAGTAATGAAAATTGAATTATTCCAAACATTTATCGGTGTACTATCACTTCTGTTTGACTAATTAAAATCTGAATTATTCCAAAAATTAATCGGAAAACTATAACTTCTGTTCGACGCATTAAAAGTAATGAAAATTGAATTATTCCAAACATTTATCGGTGTACTATCACTTCTGTTTGACTAATTAAAAGCTGAATTATTCCAAAAATTAATCGGAAAACTATCACTTCTGTTCGACGCATTAAAATTAATGAAAATTGAATTATTCCAAAAATTAATCGGAAAACTATCACTTCTGTTCGACGCATTAAAAGTAATGAAAATTGAATTATTCCAAAAAATTTATCGGTGTACTATCACTTCTGTTTGACTCATTAAAAGTAATGAAAGCTGAATTATTCCAAAAATTAATCGGAAAACTATCACTTCTGTTCGACGCATTAAAAGTAATGAAAATTGAATTATTCCAAAAAAATAATCGGTGTACTATCACTTCTGTTTGACTCATTAAAAGCTGAATTATTCCAAAAATTAATCGGAAAACTATCACTTCTGTTCGACGCATTAAAAGTAATGAAAATTGAATTATTCCAAAAGTTTATCGGAATACTATTACTTCTATACGACGTATTAAAAGTAATGAAAGCTGAATTATTCAATCACCTTGTGACCAGATCATTGCACTTTAATCATTGGCTGTGTAATTGCAATATACTAATAACTTTTGTATGAATTAGTTAATTTTTAGTTTTTAAAGCAGTTGAGGCATAATTGTTTCTACCGAAAAGAAATAATTTTTGACCTTTTTCAGGGATTACGTATTACATATAGATAGATTGTGAATTCCTTTATTCTATTCTTTAAAAAATTCCATATGAATTTTATGCAAAGACAAATTTAAATATGCCTCTATTTCAAACAATATCAAATGTTTTTTTTAAAATGTTTAACAATAGAAATTTAGTGCTAATGCTGAATATTTTTTTTCAAGACTTCATATTTTTCAATTACCAAAAAGAGTTGAAGTATTCTTGTTGACTAATAATCTTGGCTAAAACATTGATGATAAATACATCTACTACGCTGAAAAAAAATTNCCCCCCCCCCCGCCTATTTAGTGTTTTTTTCTTTGTGGGGGATTGCTCATGTTTTTCCTGTCATTTTTGCATATTTAAGAATGTGTCCTTTTTTTAAAAATTTTTTAATAAGCTTGAATTATATTTTTTATTTTAAGTTCTTTTTGCTTGAAAAATTTCGTTTTTTCCCTCATGAATTAGTCTATATTTTGCATTGAATCTTATTAATTTAAATTTTCTCCAATAACAAGAGCCGATGTTTTAACAAAAATTTTCAAGAAATAAGAGTTTGCTTTTGGCAATCGACAATCTTTTAAGATTATCAAAAACATTTGATTAATACAATAAGCAAGTCAAATATGATGTTCTTTAAATTTGCAACAAAAATTTTATAAATTCTTTTATTTGTTTTTATCAGGTATTTAATTTATTTATAAATAACATATTAACTTAAACTATGACATTATTTTCTTATTATGCTGCTGTTTTATGACACTTGGTCAAACCAATCTCGCCAGCCATTGGCATTTTACGTATTAAGTCTGGAAGGAGTATCTTTCGTTTGACAAGAGAACACTGCAAGGGTGAAAGTACATCTTAGCTCAAAACCCGAAGGATAGATGGCAGCACCACTCAGTCGTGAGGCTACTTCCTCAATTTGGACATGGATCTGAAGGGAATTGAAGTTTTCTATACCTATGCTACGGCTCAGTGACCGACCACAGGACTTTCGATTCCACAGATTTTGCGAGAGCGTATATTGCATGTACTCGGTTTAACCTAGCGACTTAGAGGATAAAAAACAGAACGAAATCCGATGCTCTTATCACTGGTCGATCACAACTATTTTTTATCAATTCAAGTTACAGTTGATAATTTTTTTAGAATTTTTTTTATCACAAGCCGATTCTCAGAAACTTTTATGGACATTATTTCTCATTTTAAGGGAAATTTTTTTTTATAATTTTAAAAGTTTTTTTTTGCTGCTCTTTTCAAGGACATTTCTTAGGAATTTTTAAGTCATAAACATCCTAAGCCTTGCTTATAATACTTGCCTTTGCAAATTATCAGTGATGGTATAGAAGGGCATCCCTTTTCTTCGAAGTGTACCTTCAAATTGTTCTGCGGTGGATCCGGATACGTGAAGTGTAACATTTTCCATAACTCGCACAGGTTCCGTCCAAAAATCAAACTATTAGAAGATAAGTAAAGTTATACTATGCAAGTGAATATTTAATGTAAGCACTTAATTATTTATGGTATTTGCTTCAAAGACAAAAGTATTTGAACTATAACAAATATCTACATAACACAAAAAGCGAAAATATAACAGTTTCAAACTTAGTAATAATCTAATTACTCTCTAGATAATAGTCTCTAATAAATAATAGTCTAAATTCTTTTCTCACTGTTGTTGGCTGCCGAAACATTCTACTACTGCAATAGCTACTGTGGCAATAGGTGCCTATCATAGGTACTATGGTAATAAATTATTAACAACCCCCGCTGATATGGAATAATACCTTTTTTTCTGAAGAGTAGTAGGGGAGAGGGGGGCACATGTGAACAATTTTTTTTATTTCTTCAATTTTCAAAAAATATCATCAATTTCTCACAGTAAAGAAGTCCATATGTTTAAATAGTCTTTTCTTTGACTTATGGAATTTTTTGAGATTTTTCAATAAAATATTTCTTTACTTTATGATATTTTAGAAAAATGACTTCAATTGTTCACATGTGCCCCCCACAGGGGCACATGTGAACTTACCTGGGGCACATATGAACAAGATTAAAACCACAAAGCTATCATCATATTTCAAAGAAAAAAATCTTTAATATAACAGATATAGATACACATTATACTGAAGGGCATGTAGCTTACTATGTGAATTTAAATTGTACAACAGTACTGTCAATAAGAAAAAAAAATTTTCGCTGTACAATAATTTTTCCGCAGTTGGGTTATTCGCAACTTCATGTTCCTCAGGATTTGTAATGGGTCTTTTTCTTTCTTCGCTAATACTCTTTCATGCTTTTTTTTTATTTTTCTATCTTTTCATTTGTAGCTTCAGCAATTTTATCTTTTTCAGGTGTATCAGTTAATATGCGTGATGCGCGATCAACCATTTAATAAAAAAAATTAAAAGAAAAAATTAATAAATAATAAATTAATTAGGGAAAATTAAAGAATAATTATTTTAAATGCATACATATTTTTTAAACTTATAATATCATGAGGACAATAATCTTAATACTATGTAGGGGCACATGTGAACTGTTCACATCTGCCCCAAATGCTTTGTTCACAAGTGCCCCCATCATCTTTCTTAAACCTAACTTGAAAAATAAAGAATTTTTAATTGAGTAAAACAAAATTTTTTTTTCCATAAACTTACCTGAATGTTTATATAATAGTCTGCAATAGTTAATTTTAGCTTATCAGTTAATTTATACTATACTTTCACATGAAGAAGCGAGTGATTATAATATATACAACACCAGCTGATACAAAGAAATTGTCAGAATAGAACAACAAAATGGCTCATTGCTCTGAAAGTTTTGCAGAGAGGTAGGACTAGTACTGCCATCAATTGAAAATTTTTCAAGATTTTTTATTTCAAATTATATTGGCAAAACATACCATGTTCACATGTGCCCCCCTCTCCCCTACTAAGTAGAAAAAGATACTTAATAGTTATAGGAACCATGAACTCGCCAACACGTAGAAACATCGCTGAATTCTGGTTTAAACGGGTCACTTGTTACCGATAAAACCAATATAGGTGTACCAAAATCAACAATATCACGATCATATGACGACTACCATACATATCGAATACGATAATATCGCGATCATTATTTATCATCATAATTTTAATATTAATATTAATGGGACCACATCATTGATAACATAAAGTATCAAAAAGATAATATCGCAAATATTATAAATAACTGTAGTTTTAAAATGCGTTATTATTGTGAGTGTTCATAAATTTTATTTGGGTAGTAAAAATATTGATCACTGCAAAAACATATTTATTAGATAAATCGGAAAATATCAGGATGTACTATTAAACTGATGTGTGTGTATATATATATA